TTCCTGGCATGATCGCTGAAGACAATGGGTACACAAGCAAATGTGGTGAAGAAAGCTGATGGTGTCTGGCTACCTAAAGATATAGTATCTGGGGTCCTAAATGCATGAAGATAAACAAGTGGCCTTCTAGCTGAGAAACAACAAAACCCACATGGAAGAAGCACACCAGCCTGTCCTTACATGATCCCTGACAAAGCGGGCACATAAGCAAATGTGGTGAAGAAAGCTGATAATGACCAGTTATTAAAAGATATAGCGTCTGGGGTCCTATAAACTTGAAGATAAACAAGTGGCCATCTACATGAGAAACAACAAAGCCCACAAGGGCTCAGGTAGAAAGCAAATATTTTGAGAATGAGGAAGGAAACCAATATACCAAAGTGCTTGACACAATGAATGTATGTATGGATTGTGATAAGAGTTGTATGAGCCTCCAATAAAATGATTGAAAAAACAAACACAAATGCATAAAGGCTTGTTAAGTCTCTCTGTATCAAAATACCTATTCTAAATCTAGGAATGTATACTAATAACATAATTATAAGAATATTAAAAAATTAATTAAAATAATAATTGTGCCATTAAAAAAATCTTTTAAGAGAGTGAGTGAAGAATTCTGATGCCCAATATATATTTTTCCAAAGAGTATGCTATCTTATAGTTCAGTTGGGTGTTAAGTCAGAAACGACAAAATATCTGAACTATTTCACATAATTATTATATGTAAATAATATATATCCATGTAGATATATATTAGTTGTAGATACAGATGTAGAAAGGCTTATGGAAATAGATTGAGACACAAGTATATGTATTGAGGGATATTTGTAAAAGCTCCTAGCCTCTAGATTAGAGATTACAATTTATTAATTTGTAGAAAATGCTGTAGGGAGAGTAGCATAGTGGCATTTGTCTCCTCAATCCTCCCACTTCACTGGCAATATGGTACATATGGTTACATTTACCAGTATGGTGAAATTGTTCTATAGGAAAGGGGTGAAGGGTGTGAATTACAGTGGTGATATATAAGATGGGTAGCTTTCCTTCTTCCCTCTGGAGAGAGGAGGATTTGCTAATCTTTTCAACATAAACAAATGGAATTCCTCTTTGAAATTAAATAAATCTCACTAGGGAAGAGTTAAGGCTAGTATCTTCAATCGATAACCAAGAGTTTTATCCATTTTTTAATGTAAAGACAAAAAAGATAATCTCCAAATCCCTTTTGATATCTCCTGGCTAATCAGTCACCTTTTGTGTTAACCCAGGCACTTTCCTAGAATGTAGTCATTTAGTTATTGGAGAGATAAGAGAAAGTTTATTATCCTTTGGATGGGATAATAAAGAGATAAATTGCTGTAAAATAAAAGGAAATATTTCTGGGAGGAATGGAATCAAACATCCTCTTTAATCCTAGAATAATTAATTTCATTGCTAAGGAAGGCAGGACTTTGCAAGAACAGTGAAAAAAAATCAAGATAAAATGTATCTTTCCACATTAAGTACATTTTATGTCTTCTGTAATAGCCCTATTTGTATTGATCTGTGTGTTCATGAACATGTAAAAGATATAAAATGTCTCTCATGACTTTCAAGGATTTGCCTGTGAGAATTTTGGGGTTGGGAAAGGCTGAGATGGGTCATTTATAACAAAGTTCTATTCAGGCCAGATTGATTAAATTAATCATGATGGAGAGGTGTCAGGTGAATTCCTGAATAACTATCCTCTTCTATGTCAGGTTACCTCTTCAATTACTTTCTTTTTTAATCCAGGAGGAAAGAAATAATAACCCCCTCAATGTATTATTCTAGTGGTTAGCAGCTGAATACAAAGAGCCCTATAACACTGGGTTGTTTTGGTTTTTTTTTTTTGGTTAATTGCTATGAATGAATAATTATCATTTAAAAATTACCCACCAGCAACATTCTTATGTCATCCTTGTGGAGCCCTGAATTAGGCATTGAGCTATTAACTGCTAAGTTGGTGGTTCAAACCCACCAGTGTTCCACAGAAGAAAGATGAGGCTTTGGCTGTCATAAGGAAACCTGACCTAAGGTCACTATTGAAGTGGAATTGACTGGATGGGAGGGGCTTCCTTTGTTTGGGTTTTAGATGGGACTTTTATACTGTATTGAATTCTGTGAAGAAATGATCAACTGTGAAATAGTGGGTTTTAGACTGTGTGTTAGTCCAGATTGATTAGAGAAGCAAATCCAGAATAGCTATAGATATAGATATGTGTATATAGATAGATAAGAGCTTTATATCAAAGAGTAATTGTATATTAAGAAAACATTCCAGCCAAGTCCAAATCAAGTCCATAAGTCTGATATTAGCCCATATATTTGATACCAGTGTATACATTCCTCTTCAGAGTCATGCAGCAATGATACCTAATGCAGGAATATCACAGGCCAATAGGTGGGAAGTCTTGTGGTTCCAGTGGTGGTGGAAGCATCTCAGAGCTGGTGTGGGTCTCCACATGGCTCCTGCAGCTCCAGGGCTCTGTCTCAGTCAGCATAGCTCCATGTGGCTCGTCAACAGGAATGTTGCACAGAGAGTGAGTGTGGGTCTGGCCTCCAGTGAGCCATATATCTCTTTAGTGGCTCCAAAAACGGTTATCAAGCTGTGATCTGATTGACTGGCTAAACTCTGCCCCTTCACTCTTAAACGTCTCAAGTTGACACAAGATTATGTAACTACCACAGACTGGGCTCTGTAAAGAAGCAAAACCTGTCATGCTTATATGTGTATATGTATAGAGAAATTAATATTGAGAAAATGACTCACACATCCTTAGAAGCAATCAAATCGAAGTCCAAGCAAGTTCCGAGCCCATGAGTCAGTTATTAGGCCAGAGGCTTCTACTTAGACTGGGGGATACAGAGATTGAGAGGTCAGATAAGAGAGATCATAGATCACTCATAAGTTCCAGGATGTTGGCCATATCAAAGGCCATTGGCTCAAGTTCAAAGAACTAGAGGTTAATAAGTCAGATACAAAATCCAGACTCAGGAAAAAGCAAGCATGCTTCTCTTCCCCATAGCACCCCTGTATATTGAAGGCATCCTTTTAACTGATTGCATCAAGGCTGTGACCTGAATAAATATGTTGCCTCTCACTCTAGTCTTCCTACAAATGATTGGTGATGACTACATTTGGACAGGTGAGCTCATGGGGAATTCCTGGGTATAAACTCCCAAACCACTGAGAATCCTGGCCAATTAGAATTACACAAAACCTAACTATCAAATACAGTATATGATACAGAACTTTTTCAGTCCACAGGGAAAGACAAAACACATATGAGTACATGCTCAAAATGCAATGGATACCAAGTGACAAATTAAATGAGAGAGAAACAGAAACATTGCCCTGGGGTGAGGGCTTAGTTTATTGTAAGGTGTTCATTACAAGGATTCCTGATATTCATGTCTTCTCATTTCCAAACATATTCACCACCTTCTATGCTCACCAAAAGAAGTCATACTTTGGTGGCACAATGGTCAAAGTGCTCAGCTGCTAACCAGAAGGTCACTGGTTCAACCCAAGCAGCTCCTCCTTGGAAGAAAGGTGCAAGCATTTGCTTCTGTAAAGATTTTCACTCGCTGCCATTGTGTTCATTCTCACCCAGGCAGTCCAGTGAAGGCCAAAGGAATCCTCACCGGTTGGAGCTGAATTAAGACATAACATCTTACTTAACATAATAGCCATGTAACGGTATTACTACCTTTAAGCAAATTGCTTTTGCCTAAAAAATAACATAAAATAATATAACTTCATTTGCAACAATCTTTCATCTTAAATTCTCCTGTCAAATTCTTGTTCTTATATAATATCTGTAGTAAGGACTGCTGGTGCCTGACCCAGATTCATATTATCAATCTGTGGGCTCATGTCTCTACAAGAGTGTGTGCTACTAGCTGGCAGATGCAATGTTCTCTGGGAATTACCAAGAAAATTGCATCGAGGCCAGATAATTTTACACGTGAACCCCAAGCCCCATATTCAAATCCATCCACTGGGAGATAACCTGGCTCACACAGTTTATAACACCAATTTCTGGCTCAATACCTTCCTCTTTCTCACAGCACTTCTTCTATTCCATTGTAGGCACCTTTGTAGTGGTTCTCACTCAATCAACAAGTGTACTCAATCCCCTCCCTCAGGCGCTGATTCTTGAACATCTTTCTAGGTCAATATATATAAGTATTAAATTTGTCTCCATAAAGTAGTATGAAATACATTCCCTACCTCAGCTGAAATGACCAGGAATTATTACCCCATGGTGTTTTGAGAAATTGGGGTTTTTGTTCTAATGATAGGAGACCTCAGACTCTGTTCAATTCAGAATATAGACCATACTCTCTGAAGACCGTCGGAGGAAGCAGGGTTTCCATGGCCTCGTAGCAGAATCATATGTGACAGTTATTTTGAAAATTGCATTTAATGAACCGAGCTCTATGGGGTTAGTTTTGCATTAAGATATATGATAAATGAAGAAAAATATACCTGCAAAACAAAAAGAAGACTATATGCTGCAAACATGAAGTTGGAAGTGGTTATTTCTCATCATGCATTTAGTAATTTCCTCTGTCAAATAAAATAAAAAATTAAATTATTAAATGGCATTCAAGATGTTGTCCAATGTGTTATGAGTTACTTTTACTTTTGCCTCGTTTTCTTCCTTGTCTTCAAATAAGCTACCAAAGAACAAAATGAAACCATGCACCATTCACCCTCGATAGGACACTGTTTTCCTGAGGAGCACCTCCCTTGAATGTTTTCTTCAATTCGGTAGCTTGATATCTGGTGAGCATGATCTTTCCTTTTCTGGCTCTCAAACTCCAAATCTTTGCACATTTCATTATAGTACTCTACTTAGTCTTCTCAAACTTCTCTTTAAGCTTTTCTGTTAATCTTTTACTGCATTTTTTTTTTTACCATCTGTATGTTCAAGAGCACATTTTAAAGTCTTTTGTGACAGCCGGTTTGTATTTCTGTGCTCACTGCAGCAGCCTCTATACTAAACGGAAAGCAATAGAGTGAAGATTAGCATGACCCCTGCTTAGGAGGATGACACGTACATTCGTGAAACATTCCATGTTTTTATTCAAAGCCTAAAAAAATAATCAATAGTGCTCAGATTGGTTGCTTCAAACTGTTCACAGTTAAGGAAGCTCTGCTGAATGGTTTAGTGGCCACTGGCAAGGATGTGGTTTTATATTGACGAGATCATATGCAAGCGAGGCAACATCTGCTATGAGACTTGGAGACTAATCTTTAACATCTGATTATGTTTGGCTTACTATTTAAATGTTCTTGGACCATGTGTGATCAGACTACTCTAATAAAATAAATATATTTTTTTAAATTATGCATTTTTCAAATAATTTCTTCAGTCACCCAAGCAATATTTTTCATTTCTATAACTCTGGTTGAGTTTTTCATATTTAGAATAAACTATGAAAGAAGAAATATAAGATATTAAATTTTTTGAAACCTAAATAAACTAATACATTTAGAAATATGCCCATTCGGGGTATATAATATTAGGATAAAATGTGACAACAAATGGAGATTTCTATTTGTATTTTTAACAATTCTGAAACATCAAGGTTTATTAAAATGATAGCAGAAAGATGTAGCTGATATTTTTAATTTGCAAAGATAAAAAAATGGACACTTCAGGAGTCTTGAATGACATATTCATAATAATATAATAAATATTAAATAATGATATGCCATAATAAAGGTGAAAACTCAGTGTCCTGTAGACAATAGAGATGCTTAATTATTTAAAATAACAATATAGGGGAGATGGTTTTCACCTAAAGACATATAGATTTTCTATTTGTTTTATTATGAAACAATTCATGCAATTATTGGAATTCAGCCATCATTTTTCTTTAAAAAATATTCACAATGAAATAAAAATTGCCAAGTAATCATATTGATAAATCATCAGCCAAAAGAAAGAATTATAAAATCACCAGACAAAAAGGTGCTCTTTAACTGTTTCCAGTCTGGCAGGCACATCTCCTCTAGGAAAGTGCTGTGCAACAGCTCAGTCGTGAGTGATGTTGTGAACGTCTATTGGTCTGGAAGGTGCTAAGTCAACACATGGGTTTCATATAAAGCATAAGGAAATTCTTAATAAACACCCCGGTTGCATCTAGAACCAATGAATAGAACATATGATTTATAATGTCTTTGAGTGTTGTTAATACACAGTATTTTCATATTATTTGCTTTTTCCACATTTTTCTTGTGTACTGATATTAAAAAACGGGTTAGCAAAATGAGAACAGTAAAATATCTACAAACAATTAAGATATGTCTCATGTTTCCTTCTGATAAAATTCACTCCTCTAACAAATCTATTATATAATGTATGATATGATTGTTATTATCTATACCTTTCGTGAAAGAAGGTATAAACTTTATCCAGTGGTAAAATCTGTTCCTTGAATTAATGAAACTGTGTTCTTGACATAATACATCAATACAGGTTGTGAGAGTATAATGAAAGAAAATTATAGGATGTTATAAGAAATTATCATATTGAAGTGTGTCCAATTATTTTTATTGTAGTTTGATAATCTGTTAAAATAAAATAAAATTAAGCTACGATTTTAAATCTCCATGGAGCAATAAAGAATCACACTGGAAAACTAGGTACAGCAGTGAAATACAAAAAAAAAAAAAAAATGTATGACAAGCCCTATTTCTGTATTCTTGTCTTATAATGAACAGAAGGTTCGGGGGGAAACATATTCAGCACACTGAGCTCTACTTTCTTTAAACCATAAAATGGAAACACGTAACTTTTCATGAAATCCATGTAATTGTTGGTAGCCAAAAAAGGTAATGTGTATGTATGTTCTCCATGTACTTTAAGGCATTATACAGGTATGTTGTTATTATTAAAAATATTTGAGTGCAGTTTTAATTTAAAAAAAAAATGCAATGTGCACATTATAGCTATCCTTGATTTTATTCACTTGAGATTATTTACCATTTATTTTAAAATACTTTAGGTTTTCCAAATTGCACGCTAAATTATCCACAATATTAACTGCCAGGTGTGCACTTTTATTCTGATACATAAACGTTATTTTCATTTTTTAGTTTAACCTAGGCATTGTCTAAAATTGGTAATATACAAAGTCCAGTGATAATATAACTCTCAACACTGAATTGGAAGATCAATGGCATGTCAGGTTTAATTTCTGTTTCTGGATGTCTGGCAGAGAGTGACATGCACAGAGCTGACTACTTTGTGTCATGTTATCCATCTGAATAGAGTGATTTCCATAAAAAAATCCATATGAAATTAAGCCTTCAAAATGCAGACAATGCTTTCTTTGATTTAAAATAAATGTATGAATTAAAGGTATAAATTTAATAAATCTGACACTGTGTTTGAACAAGCGGGTGATGGACAATTTAACACAATTCTGAGAAGCTATTAGTGATACATTTTTCTTATTTGAGAATACTACATATAAAACTATATTTGAAAAGCACTTCAGAATAAATGATATTCTGGGATTCACATAAAGTCTTTCAAATACTATTATGACTGAGCCCCTTTTAATATTGGTTGAAATCATTTTTCTACACTGTGTAATTCTACTTTAGTTTTAGATTATTTTCTCCTATTATTGACAGAAGGATGTTCTAGAAAAGCATTTCTTTCCTCTTTAACATAAAAGTATTTGTCTAAATCATTGCCAAGTGGTAATAAAACCATGAGTTGTATTAACATAGTCCAACAAAAACAAAACAAAAATAAACAAATATTATTTAATATCAAAAATATATAATTATACTAAATAGGTGGGTAATTGTGTGAAACACATTTTACCTAGTTGGGGGAATGGGAGCTTAGGCTAAACATTCATTTATATTAAGAAAACAATGATATTCTAAACATCCTTATTTCTTTTGAAATGCTCACGTTCGAGGTCAGAAACAGTCAGCTTTCCTGAATTTAAACCTTACTGTCTCTGGAGTGAAAATGTATGAAGGTGGTGGCCAGATAGAAAGTCCTTGGTTACAATTAAAAAATAAACCCCGGAATCCAGGAAGGCAGGAGAGAAGGATGAAGCATCTCTGGGGAAAAGAACGAGGAGAGAGAGCAGACATTTGAAAGGACTTAAGCAACAAAAGATAAACAACTTGTCTGAAAAACAAGTTGCTTCGAGAAGCATGTGAAGTTTGGGAGCTAAGAAGCAGCAAAATGCTTCCCAGGAAACAGATGTTTGTTATTATGTTGTGGTGGTTGCTAAAATCCATAAAGGCAGCTCTGACCCATAGTGACTCTCTGGAGAACAGAAGAAAGACTGCCGGGTGCTGCACCGTCCTCAGGATGGCTCTGTGCCTAAGCCCATCAACGCCACCACTGTGTCAATCCTTCTTCTTCTTAGGGCCTTCCCCCCTTCACAGCCCACACTTTAACATGCATGACGCCCTTCTCCTGACAATAGATCCAAAGTGTGTAAGATGAAGTCTTGCCACCCTTGCCTCTAAGGATCACACTGGCCTTACTTCTTCCAACACAGATTGGTTGTCCTTTCAGTAGTCCATGGTACTTGCAATATTCTTCTCCAGCACCACAATTCAAATGCACCACATTTTCTAAGGTCTTCCTTATTCAATGTCCAACTTTCATATCATGTGACACAATGGGGAATACCCTGAATTGGGTCAGGTCCACCTTAGTCCTCAAAGTAGCATCCTGGCTCTTCAACACTCCCAAGAGGTCTTATGCGGCAAATTTACCTGATGCAACACATCTTTTGATCCTTCATAATTTCAACCTTTTCTCCATTTATCATGTTGTTCCCTATTGATCTAGTTGTGAAAACGTTAGTCTTCTTTCATTGAGTTGATAGTAACTTGTTGCTTTGTATTTATTTGAAAATGTTCTTGTAACATAACCTTCAATGACATTTTGCTACAAACAAAGTGAAAAGGGCAAAAGGCCTTTCCTGGCCCTAAAAAGGTTTTGCACATGTCCGGAAGACTCATTTGTTCCACATTTATCAGTTAACTTACCAGTGTAAAAATATGTATATCAGCTTCAAGACACAAGACAGATAAGATGAGAATTTTTTTTGCCCTCTTTATGAGAGTAGGAAAATTTTTATTTGGTGAGTAAAATACAAATTGACAGACTGTACAATTATGTTTATAAGGCACTAGACTAGACTAGAAACTGAGGTAAGGTTCGCTAGAGGAGACAATGCTTTCAGATATAAAGAAAGCTTGACCAAAGATTTTTTTTTTAATTTTTAAAATAGTCTTTATTTCAGTTAATAGTATTAATCCACTGTTACTTCAATGCCCACCTTTCATATCATGTGACACAATGGGGAATACCCTGAATTGGGTCAGGTCCACCTTAGTCCTCA